CAGGAATTTTTGGTATTCGCATTTTCTTATATGGTAGGAAGAAAATACCCGTAAAATACCGCAAATTTACGGCACGCTGTAACTTTACGTTAAACAGCACAGCATTGTAAAAAAATACCGATTCCTGGAATACAAAGTAAAACATAAAAACCCTGACAGTAAAATAATAGAATAAGGAAATATGAATCTGAGTATAACATGCTCAACTTACATTACTATACACAGGAAATGTGAATTAACGGCTGTGATACTAGTATGGGTTTTAACTTCTCGAACATCACTGTAAACCGCTCAGAAATAAATTAGAATGCGACCAATTCATGGAAAAAAGCATTATCAACATGTAAATTAAATTTTATGACGGCGAAACAATAATTCTAACTAGTTTTCAAAACAGTTTACTATGCAAGATCCGACACCTGCTGCTTGTTTGTTAATCACAGTTAAACCGGCATTTAGTCTGCAATTCAACGAGACATGCGAATGTTAATAGTGCAACATGTTGCTATGATTGGATCACGATACAACTTTTACAACTTTTGTTCGTTCTCGGCACAAAACACAACATCGGTTTTGCAAGACAAAACTATACATTCACAAGGACAGAGCTTTCGTCTCTGATGCCGAGGATTACTCGTTTCTAGTGTAGTGTGCTATTGGATCACATGACTGAAAATAAAGTAATTTACACATGGTCAAATTTTGAGTTGCATATAAAGTATTTAATTATAAAGCACGCAAGACAACTATTATAGCATCACGTCATTTGTTTCATTACAGAACCGACCCCTAGAGAGACTCCGCTTGCTTTTGTTTCATTCAAAGAACACACGATCACAGTAACAGAGGATTTTCATTTTAGTTGCGCCATGGATTACTAGTTCGGTATTTTGTTTTATGTTCGTACATTCTTCGTCGTTTTTATAATAACCGAGTCACCGTAGTGTAAATGTACTACAATTCATGGGTCGAGTGACTGTATAGCTGCCCTCGTCAAGAAAAACGATCAATTTTTACGTATTTATTCAAAATTGCACGTTATGCAAATGTACATTCTATGTAAAAAAAATTTCACACAAACGCCGTTTAACAACGCCGTTTTCATTAGTTGACTGCTATGCCAGCTATGTAGTACTTTTGCAGTTATTTGATCTGACCAGTATGTTTTATGGTCTCTGATCGGTATGATCGCCACCTCGATTCCCCAACGCCTCATTATTTAAGCCAATTTTAGCTACTGACGCAAGTACTCGCACCGTTTTGTACCAGTATAATTTAGTTAAATAACGGCAGGTGCGAATTTTCTCACTTCGGGTGTTGCGGTGTGATATGAAGCTGCCAGCATAGTAAAAACATAACATCGGCACGTTTTCCCACCGGCGGTTAATTGTCTCGGCTTTTCAATATCAGTTGACAATCCTCGCGGCGTCATATTTTGGAATATTTTTTTTCAATTCTCATCTCCTCCACTACAAAACTATGTTAAAAAAATAACAATATACAACGAATAGACAAAGTAGATGATAGATGCTAAAAGAATCATAAGGGCATTCAAGAATATTAATGAAAATTCAAATATTAAAAATAATAACTCATAATAATGTGCACAAATTAATGATAATACATTCAGAGTCCATGCAATCTGTCACCAAACAAGAAGCCAAAATGACAAATGTACGATGGACCCACAAAAACAATGTAGCGCAATATGAATTGAGTTTATTTACGAGAAAACAATAAATTACTACAACATGGGCGAAAGAAGCTACGCCTAGGTAAACCGTGGAAAAAACAAGAACTTGGTAATGACCACATCACACCAAAGTAAACCGGATAACGAATGCTTTTGTTATATAAACCACAAGTCATATAAATAAATTTGATACTAGTTTGACATTATATACATTAGGGGTATATTCCCATACTGCATTGCGTAAGTTTCACCAAGAGCTTTACTTCACAAGTGACAAGTCTACTTAGAGTTTCAAACCCGTCGCATGTGATTAATTATCCATTATACATCTGTCATTGTAACGCTATAAGCTACAGCGTGCCGTAATTTTGTGGTATTGCACTTTGTATTTTCAGCCTATTAGGAAATTGCCATATTAGGAAACGCAAATTCCAAATATGAAACGATTACGAGCGTAAGCGTCTGCTGGTAATAATAAAAAACAAACATGGATTCCCCCAGGGTTCGACCGAACCCCACAAAAAGAAGTTTGCTGAATATGTTCTAAATGTTTTGGATTTCGGCATTCCCATGATGTATTTATCACGGGGGGTAATCTCCTCTCTCTGGGTTCTCCACACGTGTCAGAGGGGAATCTCGTCTCGTCTCTCTATCGCGTCCCCTTGAGGTACGGGATCGGGAAAGTCACTTATACTTTACAGTCAAATAAGGCACGCACAACGAAATACGTTTCAACTCTCGTCTTAGTCGATCTTTTGGAGCACTCTATAAGACACAGCGCCCTGGGGAAAAGTCCCCAAGACTCTCACAAGGCTGAACCAAGACTCGCCCAAGACTGGACTGCCTCAAGGCTCGCCCCAAGTCTCTCCAGGACTGGACTCGTCTCTCCAGGACTGCACTCTCTCTCTCTACTGCGTCTATCGTGCTGTGCTCCCCAAGACCAACTCAAACTCTCTTTATTCATTTTCAAAACTCTAACCAGTTACAAAACAGTAAAAAGACTCTAGGGCGTAACCTTCAATCATAAAGCCAATCACACTAAGTACTGAATACGTCATATCTTTTGATTAATCGTTCACTACATTAATAACTATGGATACCAACTGTCAGAATCGCGACGGTTATCTGGTAATTAGTTCCAAATCACTGAGCCAAGTTCCGTCCAGGATCTCAAATAGGCTGAAACGATGACAGACATAACACAGCAATTCGCTAATAATCAACTAATTAAGTCGATCAACAGATACGTAAAAACAAATTCATGACATATTCCTGGGAGGAAAAGATTTCTAGACAGGACTCAGACAGTACGACGTCGCATCGATCCCCGCTGCGCTTCGGTCGATACTCCGTTGTACTATCTTCACGCACACTTTACAGTATCCTCGTAATAACCTCATATTCATAACGACAGTGCAGGCATACTCAACACAATACAGCGAACGATCAATAGTGTAAAACTATGTACATTCATGAACATCGTATTCACGACCTTGAGCTGCGCTGGTTGAGTTCACTTGTGTTTGTGAGTGAGGTGTTTTTGATGAACTTCAATGTGCAATCACCAGCTAACAACCCCAATCCAAGATAATGGCCTAACGACCCCGAGAGTAAAGCTAATGATGAAAACTGATATAATTATAAAGAAAATGGCAACAATAGAGTTGTTATAAAGATTCGTCATGCACTTTTTATTTGTAATTGTTTTTCAAAACTATTGAGATATTTGTATGGTATCTACCCTAGCAATAACCAAATAGATGAGCACCGTAACTTAAGTGTGGATTCACTGCGATTTGAAATGATAAACACTTCTACATTGGTAAGAGTATGTCGCTCGGCGACATCATTCGTAGGTTTCCGTCCGGGGTACCACGGTGAAAAGCTCCCTTGAAAATTGTAATTCGTAGCAACCCAACTGTGAAAAAATATTCAGAGTGGATGTGGTGTACCTCATTGGTAACGTTTATAAATACACTGTAAATCCAAGTGTTTGAACAATTTGACACATAAAATCACATTAAGTGTTCTATAGTTTAACACATAGAGTGTGTTCCGTAAAATCGCAAAATATTTTTGTTGAAAAACATGGTGTGCTCCCCATATGTTATTCTATCAGTTAAATGGGCGTGCACGTTCTTTTAGTGATCATTGTGGCATAGACAACATAGTATATTTAAGTTTTGAAATCTAGTAAATTGTATGAACACATTGGTTCCAGAACAAAAATATTGCCTTCAGTGAGAAAATGTATGTGTTTTCTAAATTCGATATATATACTCCAAGAAATATGCATACGTATTCATAGGCGTCTGGCTGGAAATGTACATCCTCGTAGTTTGAATACATATTATTATATACATAGTGTTTGCTTTGGAAATATTTAAGGTCTGCTAGGAGAATGTTTGAACAGAAATGCTTGATTTTTAACATTAAAATGGCCGCCATTCAATCATCCTGAATCTGATCATTAATACATGTGTATATGTGCGATATTCTATATGATGTATATTTATGTTTTGAACATAATCGGTCTATACATGTCACAGATATAACCCTGGTCTGCACTCAATAAAACAAAATAACCACCAGTCATTTATTTTGAATTCTCCCATCTCTTCTCCCATCGCTACCGTCGATTCAAATTGGTAATACATTTGAGAAAATATCATGCCTTAAACTGGTTTAAATGGGCGTGGCTTTCACGGACACCCCTCCCCAATGTTGTTGTTGTCCATTATTAATGAGGCCACATGAAAACTCTTAACCAAAGTCTGCACTAGAAAAATCTAACCTAAGACACAAATTTCAATATATTGCACATTCAATGTATAACTCTCCTTTACCACGATACAGCCTTCTAAAACAGAAAATGTAATCAATGTTCCGCAGCAACTCACCAAATGTGAATTTGTATCAAGTTTCCATAATCGCTGCTGTCTGTGACAACAGTGTTTTATAAAACTATGTTCAAATGTTGAACCTTTTACAAAACAAAACAACGTGTCACAGCAACTCACCATGCTGTTGTTTGATAGATTACACTGCTCATTACTATTCATTGCAATGTGTACATAAGAACTAGCTAATGTGTCTTGTCGTCTTTTGCTTTTACCGAATACATGTATCTAATGAATGCACATATAAAACTAGAATTCACTCGAGGAGTGCAGACCTCTTCCAAGCAGCTCATCACCCCTCCCTCCACATAAATTGTGAATTACACCTTACATTATTTACAGTATTAGATTCCTTGACCATACAAACATACACACATAATTCGGAATTCACTCACATCACTATTACTTTATTGGATGTTCCCATTGTAATCTACGTCTCTAACAATATTCAATGGATTGGCTATTGCTGTTTCCATGGCAACCATATCTGAATTTCTACCAAAGTCTAATCGTATCAAAAACGAGCACTTCTGAAATTTCTTGATAATCTGTACATATCTTGCTGACTTGTAAATAAAAAAATCCAAAATTGCTGTTCCTATAGCAACAATATCTGAATCTTGGCAACAATCTAAAATCATGAGAATCCATCCACAGGATTCATTCCCAAAATTTGCATCATGGTAACCAGATCAACATGTAATCGATTAGTCCGTATGGGCAACACGACCGTTATGTGAATCCAACCTTGCTTTTTTTAGTTATAAATACAAAAGCATTTCCAAAATTGATGTTACTACTTCTCCACCAAAATATAATCCATGACCTTTTTAGTTATGAAATAAAAAAGCATTCTCGAAATTGTATCAAATGACCTAATCTTAATGAAAATAATCTCACGTCTTCTGGCGCCACCTGATTTTGCACTAACTTTTTTTTGTCTAGGTACGTACTGTGTTGAATATGTTGTCCGAGTTCATATTACATTATTGTTGTGACTATACAAAGGAATTTATCGGTACGAATATTTATTTGTGTAGGAGAATTTGATGCACTTTATCCCTCTCCCTCCCTAATTACACATAAACATGTGAGGAAGTGTGCAATTGTTGTGTTTCTACTTTGACATTGTGGAATACCATATTTAGTATTCACATTTCAGCACACGCCCACGCCCTAAACATCGATACACAACTGAATGTAATATGTAAGTTGAAATTGCACAGGTGAAACATTACCTTTTAAATCAATTTTATTATTCAATTATCGCTTCGGGATAAGTATTACATGCTTACTGTTTCAGTAAGATTCAAAGCTCATGTCGTCACGAAGAGCGTCAGGTGGTATTATTCAACCAATCACTGAATTGTATAAATTCAGTATTAATGTTGTTGTTTTTTCTTACCCACTAGCGTCGAGCGTAATGAATATATACATGATACATGATTGGAAAGCATATCTAGGCGAATTACTACTGTCGATTTATTGATACTTCACCTTGTATTCATGTTCTATATTAGTCCCAGTTCGAACGCAGTTCAAACACGGGGACTGACCTCCGTTCGTGAGCCAGTAATCAGCAGTATTTTACACATGCTGAAACTGGATACAGACATAACCTGATTCGCCTTGAGAGAACTTTTCGCAGCCAGCTAATATAAACAAGATTAATTTCAAAATGTTCCATATATAATATATACTCGGCTAATTTGGTCCCATATAAAGTTTATAACTTGTAGAAGTTCATTCACCTATCTTTCAGAAAAATGGTCAATTATGAACATGTTATATTATTGCTTTATAGATATGTAATACTTCAGATTTATAAACTGTTAGGAAATTTGCCTGGCAAGATACATTGTTTCAGTTCAACTAACAATGGTGATTCAGTAATACAATGGTAAGTGTATTTCTTTAATAAACACTAATTGAAATATGAGAACATGTATGCTCACTTCACAATATCTTGGATTTTTTTTCGATTATCGAAATTATGTTTATTCCCCATAATACATTTCATTTTTGTCTGATAATTTTAACTTTGATCCTGATTTTGTGAACATATAAATCTATGTGTTATTTGTTAAACTTTCATCTACTAATATTCCTTTATTATTCAGACCAACTATATGTTTTATATATCTGTCAAAATTGAGATTCTCTTTTGTATTGCACATTGTTGTTCTAACTGTAACGAGTTTGAAATGTGTTCAGATACATCTATCACGGACTGTGATTGGCTAGACAATATTGTAGCTTGACAAGCTTCCGCTATTTTTGTTTATGTTAGTCCTATGGTCATTCTCATCGTTGTATTATATTGCATAATTCTACAACTATCCGAACGAAACACCAGAGAACTAGTACGAGGTATACTATATTCGAGACTGAACTAATATAGAACAAGATGGCAGAGTCGGCAAGAATCTAAACATAGATTCCCGGGGGTTATCTGAATAAAATATGGTACGCAAGCTGAAGTAAAAAAATGCGTAAAAGAGACATTATTTAGTTATTTGACGCGTATACGCGTATACCGTGTTTAGCGTCGACTATTTTAAAATATATAAATAAAGTGTGAAAAAATGAATCCCATGAATTCATGTTACCTCAACTTGGAAACAGTATGAATATGTATACAAGGTATGTATTATTTTAAGTTTCTGCACTTGAAATACGGTTTTATAATTTCCCAAAAATAAGTACGTATTTAGAGGCTTTTTTGAAAAGCTATACTTCAGCATGGGTACCAGGTCTGACTTGGAGTATCCCCCTGGGCACAGCTTAATTTAGGATATCTTACGGGACTAATTATAATTATTTAAAAATTAGTGAGAAAACACGGAACTTAAATTAAAATACGAATTCAATGTTGTGCATGATCCCTGTGACGCCGTATTTATACTCAACCTATGGTCTGAATTTGACTTCTCTGGCAGTTGAAACACTGAATATTATCGTACTCGATAATAAACCATGACAATGGACCAGAGTTGACAGTAAAGTGTGTAAATATATCTAGATCATTGTCATTTTGAATTTTTCAGATCTTCATTAACCCCTGCGAAAGATCAATGTTTCAGCTGACAGGAAACAGCAGGGACATGGTAGGTTTAAAATTAAATTTAAATACGCATTTAAAAAACATATTCAGGTTTAAAATTGAATTTCTTCAATCCTCATGTCGTGCTGTATTCATATATGCTAAGCAGCTACATCTATATCGCTTTCACAGCATCGTGAAATTTTCACTTTTTGAAAAGATAAGTTACCTTCTCTGTTAGTCCCTATTATTTTAGAAATTCTTCGTGTCTGTATTCGCCTGTTCTGCTTATACTTCAAAGACAAGGTTAGTGTGTTGGTCGTTTTTTAATTTTTTCTCTGTGAGCCTGTAAATATGATCACTCCCATGTTGTAAGTTCACGTGGAAACCCTTTTGCAGGTTTAAATGCGAAACTGATGAAGGTACTAGTATGAAATTGCGTTCTCTACTTGTGTTGTCCCGTCGTAGTTCGACGCATTTGACCAGAAATACTAACTAGTTTCCTCTCTAGCTGATAACATGGTAAAAGTATTTATTTATTTATTTATTTATTTATTTATTTATTTATTTATTTATTTATTTATTTATTTATTTATTTATTTATTTATTTATTTATTTATTTATTTATTTATTTATTTATTTATTTATTTAGCTAGTTAGTTAGTTAGTTAGTTAGTTAGTTAGTTAGTTAGTTAGTTAGTTAGTTAGTTAGGTTACTATTTATTTAGGTAATGCATTTTTTTTATTTTCGCGGTGCGATTGTTGTATTTAATATCATATTCCTAGAAATGTTATGGCACTGTCACTCAGCGTGTAATAAAATGTGTTCACATGTAAGGCCACACGGACTTAATTTTATGGATGACATTCACGCGCGCATTAGTTTTCGCCTGTTCTCAAAAAAAATAAAAATCTCCGACGACGAGTCGCCACAGATTGGTTTTCTGTCCGGAACTTGCCGACTCATATTGTAGCAAAGCGCTGGCTTGTCGTAAAACTCTTGTTGGACTATCTAAAAACGTGCCAATTTTGTCGTAAAAGATCTTTTGCACATGCGTATTGCGTTGCCGGGAATACGTGAGCATAAAAGTTCAGAGGAAAGACTGAGGGATTGTTGTAGACTGGTACGCAATTGACGTCGGCCAGGGAGATGTGACGTTTACACAGCTATACGAGAGATTGGTTAAAGCTAACCCCTACTGTGTAGAGAGGAGCAAGCAAGGACATTTCTGTATCATTGCAATGTTTTGTTAGTTATTGTCATAAAGTAGTGATATGTACATTCCACCTTGACTTGTACTGAAAATGATGTTCATGTTGTACCTTGAATGCAGTGTTTTTGACTGAAGGTACTTCATCATGACTACATGTACTAGAGCTTGTCTGAAATGGTTATACAGTAATACAGTACGAGATGTGTATATCAACATGTGCCTCCTACAAATAAAGACTTCTTGTTGTTTTTTGATACATTGCGTTCTGTGGTTCAATTCGTAATAGCAGCTCCGTAGTCCTGTAGTTTTAGCAGGATTTTTTTTTTTTGGCAGGATTTTTTTTTCGCCTTCTCGCATTAGTTTTGGGGTCTCCAGAGAATGTCATCCATAAAATTAAATCAGTGTGGCCTAAGCATCAATGCCCCATATCATGCACCGGGAAAAAAGTATGGCATTATACAACAAATAAACAATGGAGTGGATTGAAGAGAGGGATATCTACTATTGGGACTTTTACGTCTTCGTGTGGGCAAATTAAATAATTTTCATGATGATACGCGAAATTCTTTCGTCAATATAATTTTACGTTTCATGCTGGGCTTTGTATATGTAGAATTTAAATTCATTTTCTAATAAGCACGACACATACGTGGTCTGAAAATAATTAACAACACACCAATCATTCGATAAGCATATGATCATGTACACTCAATGTAATAAGGGAAGCGATCAAAATAAAACCAGCTGTTTCCGGTTCGGTTTCCAAGGAGCTCAGGAGAGCTCCCTAGAGCTACTTCGTCTCCCGCTGAGCTACTGGGAGCTTCGAGGAGATCCGCCGATTTCACTAATTAGTTTTTAATTAAGTCTATTTCACAATAGAACAGCTTCCCATGTGACATTCTTCCACTTTATTCGTGGTAGACCATTTTTACCAGACATATTTTGACCGACATATGGAGACATGCATTAATCCAGTTAGGTAACAATGCTAGACATTTTCCATTCAAACTGTAACCAACATAAGTAGAATCTATTGTAACGGAATTACGTACAACGTGAGAACATTAGTGGATAGTGCTTGATGTATACGCTGCCACATTTTAATACATAAGTGCTTGACGCTCTGAGTACTGAATGACAGCCGATATAAAAACATTGTCAACCTATCTCGAGGAAATGTGCGTATTCTGCGGGAAACATTTCTCTCGATGAATAGTAATCCCAAATATGCAGAAACAGGGCATATACAAGCGCGGATAGTAGATAACCTCATTATACTGTACTAAAGTTGGACATCCATCAATAACTTGTAAAATGAACGTGGGGATTGGAATCCAGGTCACATGGTATTACAATACAGTTGAACCTGGTTCG